CGGTTGCCCGCCCCCATGCGGTAGCCCTGAGCGCCCCCGGGGCAGCGCTGACAGGAATCCTTGTGCTTCTCTCGCTGTAGTTTGCTCTTGCTGAGAATTGGTTTATGTCGGAGGAGAGCAGGCCAGGTTTGTTGCAGCAGCCCTCTCATCTAACGTGTAGTCTGGGTTGTAAGAAAAATACTAGCTGGGTCAATGTGACTGACTGTTAAGGGCCTTGGGAGAAAACATGCTGCAAGTGGGACTGGTAAATCAATTATCATCAGAGCCTGGGGTGAACAAATGTCTTCACAGTGAGAGCACTGTCAGACATAAACCAGCTCTAAGGTTACTAGCTCAGGTATGGGTAATGGTCTAGATACAGCCTCAGGGAGCCAGAATTGGCACAAATAGGTCAATCAGCCCATGCTGTTGCATTCAGGCCACTTCTACCTCAGAGCTGGCAGGTGGCATGTTTAGGTCTGCTCCTCCCTGCAGTTCTAGCTCTTAGAGTTGTGTAAATACGTCCCCATTTTTGGGGATTTACAGACAAATGTAACATAATGTTGAAAAATAAAGGAAATTCATGGTAGTGAACTGTCTTGCATGACAATATACCACTGGTCCAGTCATTTCTGGATTATATTAGAGCTTCTGATGATAGGTCATAAATAGTATACAAAGAAGAACTAACAATGGTTGCTGTGTCATTAAGCTGTAGTGATCACATCTTTGCTTTTGGATCTGGAAGTCCACCTGTGATTCAGTCTCTTGTGAAGTTCTAACAAAAAGAGATTATTAAGCTCTATTCTGTATAAAAGACAGCTGCATAAATTAATGTACATACTGTCCTTCATTGCATACTTTTGCAGACTGGAGAACCTCCCCCCCCCAAAAAAAAAAAAAAAAGTCTCCTTTAGCAATAGGAAGCAGCCATGGACAAAGGACACAAGAACTCCTACATAGTACATTAGCTTTTGCCTCTGAAACTGCTCATTGGATTGACCCATATATCACATCACAGTCTGGTGTGAGTCTGGTGTAACACTCCCAGGAATACAAAGTAATTTAACAGAGCAAAAGCTTTTGACCTTCTTAGCAGCAAGGAAACAGGTAGAAGGGCACCTGCCTTGGGACTTCAGTCTTTGTAACAATGGTATTCTGCGTGTGCAACAGCAAAGAACTGCAACACTGCACTTTCTATTATAGGATGATTTAGAAAGCACATTAGTGTCGCTGGCTAGCGGAAACATCATAAGATGCTCAGCTGACTCTCTCTCTTCCACCAGTTCTGGATCTGCAAGGCTTTTTCCTACCCATGTGATACCGCTCAATTGAATGGTTAGTTTTCTTTATGCTGGCTTTGGCCCATTTTATATAGCTATACCTACATCTAAGAAAAATCTCTGACTTAAACATCAGGCCTGCATTAAAACAAGACCAAGTCCTAACCTCAGTCACATATGTGCACGTGTACACACACACAGACTCACTGTGTTTTTCTGAGGACTAAAAACTCATTTCCTAATGCTGGAAGTATAAATGTTTGCTCACAGAAAACCAAAAGATCACCCATTGATAGTCAAATGCCATATTTCTACGTCATTCTTAGAAGCCTTGCTGTTCTAACTAAGACAAGAGCTCGCATTTGCTGCTGTTATTATATATGGGGCAAAACCAGATGTCTGTGGTTGCCATTTTAGCCGTGGAAAATCAATCATATGGGGCTTTAGCTGGCACCTGTCTATCTTTCTGGGAGGTCACTCAGTCTCAGTGCATTTAGTGCCATTTACATGGTGCTCCCTACAATGCTTTTCAGTCCTACTTTAGAAACATAATTGGGTTAGAACGGTTGCCAACAAAGAACCCCATCAATGCCAAACACCCGTGGCAATTAACAGCCACCTCATTGCTACAGGGCCCACTATTGTTTCTAGTAGACTGCTGTAAATTACAGGTAAACTTGCCTCAGAAATTATGTGACAGTGCACATTTGTAATGGAAACATCAGCTTTTTTGATAGGTATCTCATTATGATTCTTGTTTATGCACACGAACAAAATAATTCAAAGTGCTGTAAAAGGGGAGAATGTAAAACGTAACTAGAATGCCTTCTGCCTTCAATCACTTAACCCTGCAGTCCTTGTGCACACTTGATTTTCAAGGATTTTGAAAATGCCTACCATTTCCACTCAGGTGCACCTGTAGGTATAACCTGGCCCTCCCTGAAAAACAGGTTTTAGTGGATTTGGCAGAGCCAAATGCTTTTAGCATACAGGAATGAGAAATCTGTGGCACAAGAAAATTTCAGAGGGCGTATGCTGGCCCAAAGCAACATATTATAGAAAAGGATTTTCCTTCTTTTTATATTGGCCTTTGTTAAACAAGCTTGAAGCTTTCTGCTTGTTTTGCATGACAAAAGCAGTGACTGACAACTAAGGTAGCATAGCAGGCAACTCCTGGGCTTGATCTACACCCAAAAAAGCACTGGTGCATCTTTGGGTATAGACAGCCCTTGATTTATGGAGAACACTGCAGTAACATTGCCTGGATTCTTTCTCAGATTGTCACTAACCTTAGGCAAAATATATAGGGCCCAGTTCTGAAGATATTAGTACCTGATATAAAAAAAGACCACGAGCTCTTCCACTGACTTTTCTCTGCATCTGGTCCTTTCTCCGATTATCAATAAGGATGAACTGTACTGAAATCAAGGGAGTAACAGTAGAGAATCAGGCCTGTAAGCATTCTGTGGTTCTTTCTGTCTCCTTTCACCCCACACAGATGAACTGATGGTTATGAACCTCACTTCAGATCAACCATTTGCATCCATTGGCATGCTTTACAACAGAGCTCTTCTAACTGTGACCCCTACACATAATACAAATAGCAAACAGTAGTAATAACAATAAAATACCGTCACCCAGGGAGAAATTGAAATGACAAAAATTTATAGAATTACACAGTTTCTTATCACTCAGCCCATGTTGTTTAAGGACTAGAGACCCAAAATCAGCTATCCAGATTTTTGCATTCAGTAGATATAAACATAGTGTAAGAATAAGCAGAGTAAGTAAATAAGCAGAGGACATTTGACAAAAAAAAGTATTAACATATACATATTTAAATTGAAGAATTTTTCATCTGGGGGAGAAGAGTTGATAATTTTTTTATTCCTGCCCTCTGTTTGTAGTCTTTAAGGAAGGACAGACTTCCTTGAAAGTTCTGCAGAGTCCTGGCAATCTGTGTCTGGTAACATTGTCAGCATCTCTCAACTACTCTCCTAACTGAAGCTAGTCCTTCAAGAAGATGGGATCTCTCCTCAGAGCTCCAAAAGAATTATCGTCCATTTCCATTCAATCAGCTGAGATTTTCCAGGTGCTTTCAGTGATGCTGGGAGACGACAACAATCGCTGTAAGTGATCTGCCAGATTAACTTCATGTGTAGTAATGTTGTTGAGGAGTTCCCGATATTCTCATTGGTAACACTAGCTCCTTTGTAGAAGGAACTCTTTAGAAATGACACGGAATACTCATGGTTCTACAGCAGTCTCTTCTTCCCTGTCTGATAAAATAGGTAGTTCTCCCTGGCTATCATTTGTACGGCTAGATTTTTTAGAGGTGGTTGTTTCTCTTAAAAGTTCAGCAGTAACCTGCTTTAGAGAGTCTTCT